TCCTAAGCCCTGAGTCAAACCGCAGATGGGTGTGTGTGGTCCCTGAGCGTGGGCAGGGAGTGCAGGGGCCAGTTGAGATCTCCCTTCCTTGGTTGAACAAGCAACCTGACCTTGGTTCTTCAATGTCAATGTTTATGCTCAACCATCATGGTATAAACCCGAGCCTTAGGTCACTGATGTCAGATAAAAAGTAGGTGCTCAACAGGTATCAAATGAGCGAACGAATGAATGAAATGGAAGGCCTCTGGATGGAGTAGATTGCCAGCTTAGGTGGACCCCATGGTCATCGAAAGAGGCAGCCAACACTGGGACTTTTGTGGTCAGCTCCTAAAGGGGAGGGATATCTTGATGCCAAGTTCCTGAACTATGCAGAGGAAGGGGTCTGGACCCTGGGGTTCAGGGCCGGGTCATGGAGTTGGAGTTCTGGCACCTCCTTCCTCCTGAAGAGGCACTGGGCAGGCAGGGTTGACAGGTTGGGTGGCATAGCCAAGCTGACACTCACCTCCAACATAAAACCTCGCTTCATGGAGCCTGCACCTCCATAGCACTAGGGAGAGCTCCTGCCACCGCTGAGCAGGGCTCACCAACCACCAAGCCAGAGAACATGAGGCGGACCCACATCCCTGCCCTGCTGCTGCTACCACTGCTGCTAAGATCTGGTGAGTTGCAGCCAAGGGCAGGCAGTCCCTCTGCCACCTCTCTGGAGGGGTCCCTCTTGCTGCTCTGAGCTCCAACTGAGCCCCCACCCCACCCCTGCAAACCCTGGGCCTGCCTATGAAAGGAATCTTCTCCTTCAGTGACAGGGTTCCCAGAGAATATACAAGAGGGGGACCTGGCTGGGGGCCTGTGGGAAGGTCTGACAGAGCATGTGGTCATGGCCCCTCAAGGCCTCTCAAGGAACCCAAGATAGTGGCTTGGGCTAGAGCCACACCCCTATCTTCCTGGGCTCTCGGTGTGTCATGCTCTGAGACTGGGGCTCCCCTAGACATCTTCCCATTCTACAGATGAAGAGACAAAGCCCCCATGACTCTAGGATTTGAACCTACAGGCTTCCAATGTCATTGGGCTTATGTGAACTAGGAGCCTTCAGAGTCTGGCCTTGGCTCCACAGAGAGCTAGGGACAAGAGCTGCAGCTGCAGAGGGTCCCAGCCCCTGCCTACAGAGGCAGAAGCAGTAAGTAGCCTGTCCATCCTGAGCAGGGGTCAGTAGGTTCTAGCCAGGTGCTCTGCCTGGTAGGTCCTTTCCTGTGGGGCGGGCTCCTCTCTACCAGGGAAATTCTCCCACATTCCTAGGCCAGATGGGCCAGCTCAGCAGCCACCAGACTTCCCTGTCCTCAGTTCACCTTCCTGGGACAGGCCAAGTTACCTCAGAGCATGTCTCAGCCAGGGCTCAAGGGGTAGGAGGACATTAGTGGGCATCTCTGTAGGGATGCCCCTGCCTCCCCCAATGTCATTGAATGTTTCTGTCCATGCTCTCTGGCAGCAAGGACAATAGCACTGTAAGCCCATTTCCACTGGGTGTGACACTGTAGTGGCTCCCGTGGGTGGATCAATCGAGGTCATTGCCAAAGTACAAACAGCAGTCTGCCTTTGGCTCAGAAACAGCTGTAACCTGCAGCTGGACCCCAGGGTGACTTGCTCACTTCAGCCCAAGGTGACCCCTATATTCCTCTGGCTGGCCTTGCCTAATTTCTTAGACCTCAGTCACTGCCATAAGCATAAGGGACCAACATCCTGGCCACCATCTACCACTGACAGGGTGTCTGCTATCCCTCCCGTTTGTATACTCTAGAGGCGTGCTCTGCCTTCACAGATCTCCAGGGCCTGAGTTCTGGGTGCGATCAATCCCCTGGTAAAGGACAGGGAGCTCAGAGGAGCAAGGGAGTCTCCCAAGACAGATAATAAAAGCAAGCAGGGAAAGCTTCTGCTAGAGAGTCAGCACTGGAGTGGACCTCAGCCCACACTAGGACTTGTAGCCTAGGAGCCTCAGCCTGAAAGGACTAGGCTGCGTCACAGACAGTGAGTTACAGGTTAGCAGACTGGCAGGAGGGAAACTGCAAGCTTCTCCGAGGGTGATAAGGGGACTGGGGAGGGGGCTGGCAGTGCGTTTGTGCTCTTGAGGACAGAGGGCAGCCAGGCTAGGCAGCATCGCAAGCTGACTCTTCAGGCCTGGAGATCAGGTCCAGCTGAGTTCTAATAAGATGCTGGGAGGGTGTCTCTCTGGTCACATTTGCATTTTATTTCATTTATTTTGGTTTTTCAAGACAAGGCTTCTCTGTTTAGCTTTGGCTGTCCTGGAACTCTCTGTAGATCAGGCTAGTCTTGAACTCACAGAGATCTGCCTGCCTCTGCCTCCTGAGTGCTGGGATTAAAGGCGTGTGCCACCACTGCCTGGCTTCATTTTCTCTCTCTCTCTCTCTCTCTCTCTCTCTCTCTCTCTCTCTCTCTCGCTCTCTCTCTCGCTCTCCAACCCGTGTGTGTGTGTGTGTGTGTGTGTGTGTGTGTGTGTGTGTGTGTGTAGGCAGTTACTGGTGGAGACCAGAAGGGGTTATTGGATCCCCTGGGTGCTGGGAACTGAACTGAGATCCTCTATAAAAAAAAAAAAAAATGGCAAATGCTCTTATCCAATGAGCCATCTCTCCAGCCCTTTATCTATTTGTTTATTTATATTTTTATTTTACTTTTTATTTTACTTGCATGCGCACCATATGCACATAATGTCAGTGGAGGTCAGGAAAGTGTGTTGGATTCATTGGAACTGGAATTACAGACAGCTGAGTCACCATGTTGAGGCTGGGGACTGAACCCAGGTCTTCGGCAAGAACACTAAGTGTTCTCAACTGCTGAGCCATTTTATTTTGAGACAACACTGATAGCTGCAACTGACCAGGTAGTCATTGTGTAGCTCAGTCCGGCCTTAAACTCCACTCAATCCTCCTGGCTCAACCTCTTGAGGGGGTCATGCTGGGGTAACAGCTATGGGTCACTACACCCTATGCATTTGCAATGTAAAGTGGCACCTTGGGAAAACAAGTTCACAAGCCGGAAGTCCAGAGCTCAGTTCCTATTTCCCATGACCCTCACACGTGCCTTTATCTTCTCTGAGAAAAATCTGGCCCTATACTGGGTAGTAGCTATCTCCAGTTCCTCTATGTTCTGGTTACATCTCTGGCACTGTGATAAAATATCATGGCAAAAAGCAACTTAGAGGATAAAGGGTTTCTTTTAGTTTACTATTTCAGGTGATAATCCATCATTTCAGGGCAACAGGAACTTGAAACCGCTGATCACATCCAGAGTCAAATCCTGGATGCATGCATACTCTCTTGTGTTTAGCTCAGTTTCTTCACTCTTGTACATTTCAGGACTAACCAACCCCTGCACATAGGGAATGGTGCCACCCACAGTGAGCTAGGTCTCCCACATCAATTAACTTATTAAGACAATCATCCACTGATACACCTACTGGCCAACCCAAAGTAGACAATCTTTTTATCGAGACTCCCTGTTCCCAGGTGATTCTAGCTTGTAACAAGCTAACCACATCCACAACTAAAACACAGCTGCACTCTACCCTATTTTCAGGGCCACAAGTTAAGCATTGAGAGCACATCCTTCCCTCTGGATCCTCAGAGAAAATGTGACCGTCAATGTGGAGGGTCTGACTCTGCTGAGACCCCACCCAATTCTGACAAACCTACCTAAGGGAGCAGTAACTAGGAGAGTACAGCTACAAAGGTCTGGGGTGCCTGGGCTCGAACCTGAGTCTGGAATGGAATTAATGGGGTTTTGGTGAAAGGATGAGTAGGTGTGGGTGATGGACCACATTCCCAGTGCCCTCAGACCTGCCTTATCCTCTTCCCTACTGTCTCTCACCTTGATGGTGGTTCAGTAGAGGATCATGGTTAGCAAGAGGATTCAATCCTTGGTAAAATAGTGTCTTGGGAGATTGATCCCTCGCCACTGCTAGGCCAACTCTACCCTCTTGAGAGCAGAGAGTGGCATTGGGTGTCTGAACCTCAGTTGGGCTTGGGGAGAAGTTGAAGGAGACTAACTTATTCTGAAAGACTTCAAGGAGGCCCTGATGGATGTGTGGAAGTGACCTCCAGGGTTTCCTGTCATCCAGAGCTGAGCCATTAGTGGGTAAAGAGAAGGAAGTAGACCCCTCAGCTCTAGAATGTGAGGTCCATGCACTGCCCTCATTCCATACTGCAAGGCAAGAACAGAGGTGCAGGGCGGAGGGAGAGATCCCTGTGTGGACAAGGAGAGTGCCAACCTGACCCAAGCAGGGAGGTCAACCCATCTGGCCACAGTGCTAGCTTTACTGGTTGTCCTCCCTGTCCTCAGTGGACAGGGACTCTCTCATGAGGCAGAAGCAGAGAGGAACTGGTCTTGGCTCAGCAAAGTTGCCTCATAATTGTCTTTTCTCACTTCCAGGGACTGAAGGGGCCAGTACTCTGAGAGGTGAGTGGGATCTCTCTCACAGAGAGACGAGAGAGGAGAGAGGGAGGGGTGGAGGGAAGGACAAGAATAGGAGAGACACATAGGACAGTGCAAAAGCCAGCCAGAAGTGGCTGAGCAGAACTTCCACGTGACAGAGGAAGAAGAGATCTACCATGTGATCAGCAAAGTAGGACATGGTGGAAGCATCAGAGGTAAGTACCAGGACACCTTCCCTGCTGCATGGCTGTCCCCTGGCCCACCAGCCCTGTGAAAACAAGACAGCCAACCATCCTTCAGGGATCCCTGTGTCTCTCTCTGGGATGGAAATTTTCCATGTCATTTCAGCCTTCCTGACCCCCAAGTTAGGTCTTGACACCTTGTCATAAGACAGAAGTAGAAAGTGTTGGCCTATATCTGCCAATATTCTGAGAAGCCCAGGGGCCATAAAGGCCTGAAAATTGACAGAAAAGTAAGAGCCAGCGTGTGGGGTTTGGGATAGAGGTGAAGCCATGGAACCAGGCCCCTCCCTCAGAATGATTCCCTGTTCCCCCAGCCTGTGGGCACCCAAGGATGTTCAACCGCATGGTAGGCGGGGAGGATGCCTTAGCAGGTGAATGGCCCTGGCAGGTTAGCATCCAGCGCAACGGGACCCACTTCTGTGGGGGAAGTCTCATCGCACCAACATGGGTTCTTACTGCTGCACACTGCTTCTCCAAGTAAGTGACCCTACTGCTTCCGTTTCTCACCAGTGGCTGGCACAAGGCAGCCTGTGCACAGTGGTTCAGCACCACAGACAGCACTGGCGTCAGCCCCCACCCCACCCCACCCCCTTGTCCAATAACATCCAGTGTTCCAGACTTTTCCTTTAGGGAACTGCAGAGATAGTCCAGGCGTTAAAAGCACTGGTTGTTCTTACAGAGGACCAAGGGTCAACTCCCCACAACTGTCTACACTTCCAAGTTTCAAAAGATCCAACACCCTCTTCTAGCTTCAGGCTTGGACATGGTGCATTTACACACGTGCAGTCAAAACATCCATATACATAAATAAAACAATTTAAAACTTTCCATTAGGTCCAAGCCTAGGCCTTTAAGCTCCAACCATTGCTGCAGCTCTAGCTCCACCAGCTGTTCTGCCAGTGACATCTGTGGTCCTGCCCCTAGAAATGTTGCAGGCACCCAACACACACCTCTTCCTGTGTTCCCCCTACCTCAAATTCTGGATCTTGAGTATCAGATAAGCCCAAGATTTGGAACAGAATGTTTGTCTTCTTCACCTCATTTAAGATCACCTCCCAACTCACACCTCCAAGTGAAATACTTACCCTAGGATTTCAGGGTCCCCAAACAATTCTTTTTCCCCTTTATTTATTGTGTGTTGGTGCTGGGGGGCACATCTGTCATGGTGTGCATGGGGAGGTCAGAAGACAACTTTTGGGTTTTCTCCTTTCACCTCAGGTTTTTAGACCTGTAGAAAGCACTTTTACCCACGTTTCACTTAGAAACTCAAGCTCAGAGGTGGATCTTCCCAGGCCAGGGGCAGGGCTTGGCCTCACTATACACTGTGTGTGTTACAATGGGCTTTCCTTTTCTTCCTTTCTTTCTTAAGATTTATTTATTTAGTATAGTGTTCTGCCTGCATGTACACCTGCACACCAGAAGAGGCCACCAGGTCTCATTACAGGTGGTTGTGAGCCACCATGTGGTTGCTGGGAATTGAACTCAGGACCTCTGGAAGAGCAGCCAGTGCTCTTAACCACTGAGCCATCTCTCAAGTCCCACAGCAGGCTTTTCAATAGTGTTCCCATCTTACAAATGAGGAAACTGAATCACAGAGAACTTGTTAGGTCACTTACCCAAGATCACCTAGTAGCCAGGGATAGTGGAGAATTAAAAGTGGGTGACTTTCAGTTTCTACAGCCTTTAGCATGAAGATGACATTGTTGAGAGTGTAAAGAGAGGCGTCCAATACTGCCATGGACCAGAACCACCTACCCCTGTGGCTCCTTTTTCCTCACAGAGTAAGGTGCTCACAGCAGCTCTGCTCTTTCCGTCAGCACTTCCAACATATCTATATACCAAGTCCTTCTGGGTGCACTGCAGCTGCAGCAGCCAGGACCACATGCCTTATATGTCCCTGTGAAGCGGGTGGAAAGCAACCCCCAGTACCAAGGCATGGCCTCCAGTGCCGACGTGGCTCTGGTCGAGCTACAGGTGCCTGTGACCTTCACCAACTACATCCTTCCTGTGTGTCTGCCTGACCCCTCCATCGTCTTTGAGTCGGGCATGAACTGCTGGGTCACTGGCTGGGGCAGCCCCAGTGAACAAGGTGAGGGTACTGAACTAGGGGAGGGAAGGGCATATGGCTTAAGAAAGGACAGGGCAGCTTTCCTGGTATATGTGATCTCTAGTCACATGGGTGAAGCAGGTGCTGTAGGAGGAACTGCTGTGCACATGTGAGATGGAAGAGGGAGACAAGCAGGCCTGGTGCTTATGAGGAGAGAAACAGTCCCATGAAGTTCTAATGAAACCTGCGGAAGGATGGAGCCAGTTGTGGTTCTTGAGAGCCCAGAACCTCAAGATCCTGGTTAAAACTGTCCACTGAGCTGCAGGCTTGCTTTCCCTCCCCAGACCGACTGCCCAACCCACGGATCCTGCAGAAACTTGCTGTGCCCATTATTGACACACCCAGGTGCAACCTGCTGTATAGCAGGGATGCTGATTCTGACTTCCAGCTCAAAACCATCAAGGATGACATGCTCTGTGCAGGCTTTGCAGAGGGCAAGAAGGATGCCTGTAAGGTAGGGTTTATGGCCAAGCCTCTACAACAACGGTTCTCAACCACCCTAATGCTGTAACCCTTTAATACAGTTCCTCATGTTGCGGTGACCCCCAACCACAAATTTTTCATTGCTATTTCATAGCTATAATTATGCTACTTTTATGAATTGTAATGTAAATATCTGATATGCAGGGTGGTCTCAGGCAACCCCTGTGGAACAGTTGTTCAACCCCCAAAGTGGTCACCACCCACAGGCTGAGAATCACTGAACTAGAGAGAACTTAGCTCAGGTCAAGGGTAGGCTGTGGTTCCATTAGCCAAAATGAGCTGACCAAGTCTTGGATCTGAACCGAGGCCACAAAAGCTGCATTTTTAATACACAACACACTGGGTGTATGCCACAGACAGGCAAGCGGGAACATTACAGCAACGTGCAGGCTCGTCCATGAGAGGACCAACGGCTAGGCACTGGGAGGGACTTTGTGATGAGTCTATGAATGCACCCAGGGCCTTAGTGGGCTCAGGGTGGGTTCTGATGGCCCTCTGCTTCCCCACAGGGTGACTCTGGAGGCCCCTTGGTGTGTCTTGTGGATCAGTCATGGGTGCAGGCTGGTGTGATCAGCTGGGGAGAGGGCTGTGCCCGCAGGAACCGCCCTGGTGTCTACATCCGTGTTGCTTCTCATCATAAATGGATCCATCGAATCATTCCAGAACTGAAGTTTCAGGGCAAGGGCAGCAGCCAGCGGCAGCAAAGAGACCCTGGAGGCTGGCAGCACTTGGGAAACTCTGCCCCCTGCCTGGTGGCCCATGCAGTCATGCTGGTCCTGGTATCACTGCTTACCATCCTCTGAGCCTGCCCAGGCCAGGCAGATAAAGCCCTACCCACTGTACATTTGTAAATAGCTCGTTTCCCCACCCTACATGCTCGTTACTTTTATTTATGTCCACTTCCAGAAAAAAGCGGGCCATGGCCTATGTGGGGATCACTGCAGGGCTCTAGGGGCTGACAAGCTCCGAATTGGGAAGAATTAGAGGGCTTGGCTCCTGGTGAGAGGCCATTGTGATTTGCCTGCTTTTCTAGTCTGCTCAGACATGCCATGTACTAGGCTGTGAGGCAGGTCAGCATTAAGAGACCTCTGAGAGCAGAATCTAGACCCCCAACCCTGACCCATGTTCCAAGGCTAATCACAGATGGTCCAGATATCTGAGTGCTCTACAGGAGCCCCATATCACAACATAAGCAACAGGGAACCAGGGAAGAGGTTGTTTTCTAGAAGTAAGAACACAGCATTCAGGTCTACCAGGATGCACTCAGGAGGGACAGCACTTCTCCACACTTCAAGACAGTAATTTGCTGAACGCATTCATAAATACACAATTTTATTTACTATTTTCAGGGGAAACTTAGGCATTAAACAGTAAGCTGATAAAATACGGATACCTAAAAAAGTATAAAAGTATAAATATCCCCTTAGAATTTTAGTGAATTAAGTTTTTAATATCATTAAATTAAAAAACAAAAACAAAACAAAACAAAACAAAAAAAAAAAAAAAAAAAAAAAAACCCACAAGCCTATCTACTGTCAAGGTCGCAAATCAAACAATGCTAAGTGTCCAGCCACTCCCCAGAGTATTTCCCATGGCCAACAGCAGAGCCACTGACCCAAGGGCTGCTGAGGCCCAATCAACCCAATAGAAAGGTTTTTATGAATCATTTAAACCAAACATTTAACAACAAACAACAGACCTTAGGAAAAGACGAGGTCAGTCCTAGATGCTGGAGAACTTGATTTATCAGTTATTGGCAGAGGAGAAGGAAAAGGGCCTAGGCAAGAAGTTTCTGGAAGCATTTGAAACAGTGTTAGAGGCTCTGACCTGCACACAGGCAGCCTTGGCAGTCAGTTTGCACAGCTCCCTTGGGAAGCCAGGGGTCAAGAAGCACAGAGCTTGCTTGCTTGGGCCAAGTATGTGGCCTGCTACATCCCCTAACCAGCTGAGAAAGGTCTGTTCCAAAGCCAGCAGGCGTAGCCTCTGCAGGAACCTTAGCAGCTCCAATGTCATGTCAGGTGAACAGAGCCCATGCAGGTTGTGCAGTCTCAAACACTCCAGAAATGCAAGAGAAGAACTGCATAGTTATACAAGAAAATGAGAGCCAGTGAGAAGGAGACATGTTTGCGCTGTAAACATCCTGAATGTTCAACATGACCTGGAGTGTCAGCTCCAGAAACCAGGTGGACAGGCCTCCTGCCCTAGCCTCCATCCCAGGCACAACAAAGGCACTGGTAGGCGCCAGCTCCCCCATGAGCCCACAGGTGGGGCATATGAGGCAAAACATCTACCTCCCTTAAATGATTTAACAGATCAATCCAAAATGTAGCAACACTTTTAGGCATTTCTAAAGAGTATAAACACCGGGTGGTCTATCCACACTTTTAAAAAGGGATACAAAGTCCTCTTGCCTGGAAATACAAATTGAGAAGCCTTGATGATCCTGGGCCAAGTTGACAGGACATTTTAAGAGCCTGGCTCTGAAGGGGTGTAGTCCAGGGGAGGTGCCCAGAAGTAGTGATAATGTGGAGGCTGCCTTTGTCAGGAGCCTCAGCAGAGGTCAAGAGAAATCAACCAATCATGCCTGGAGGCCTAGTGGCCTCCCTGACCCAAGGATGAGGGCCTGGTACTCAACCAGTGATGAGCAGGTACCCATGCCCTAAGCCGCAGTGCATTGGACAGGAGTTGCGGCAGCTGCCCCTCCCTCCTGGCAAGGCCCAGGCTGCTTGTTGCAGACTGTGTGTAGCACCAAGGACCTTGTCCTTCAAATCATCTTCAGGAATGCGTGGCTGGTCAGCAGCATCCTGCCTCAGTCCCACGGAGCACTCGGAAAGAAGAGTGAGACCACAGAAACTGACAGCCCAGCCCTAGCTGCCTCCCTGTGGAGACGACTGGCTTGACAGCTGGGCTGTCTCTCGCCACCCACATCTGAGGCAAAAAAGGATCCACACCCAGATCTCTAGAGAAATGATCAAAAGCAGGTTTCTTCTCACAGCCATGCTTTCTGCACATGGCGGTTCACTTTATCTTGGGGAAAAGAAAATCATTTCTTCAGCTGTCAGTATTCCTCACATCCTTGAGCCCCGTTCTTGCAAAATCTGAAAAATATGAAATGCAGAGTGAGGATGTAGGCTCTGACCAAGGCCCTGTTCAGAAAGCAGAGTTCAAAGAATCACTCAACTTCAGGCCAGGACCTCAGCTAGCTAACAGGAGACTGTACAGCTCCAGATCGCCTCATGTCCAGTAGATCAACCTCCACACCCCATCCATTCATGAGAAGAACTGCACCCCTTCACTGGTCACCCCTCTGCCTGACTTCAGAAAACCTTCCAAGCAAGATCATGCTGTGGATCCCTTCCTCATTCAGTCTGCTCACTCACCTGCAGTACCTGCTGCCTCATCTGCTGCTCCCACTGGCTGAAAAACAGGGTGCTCACTCATAGAACACTGTGGTCAGCTGTCTATCCAGTTGAATGGAAGATTCTGGAGGCCTTCAAAACATGCTGGGCTTGGGCACATGCTGCTGAACCAAACCCATAAAACGAGCCTCCAGTAGCCTCTAGGGCTAAGACAGGGTATGACTCCATCAGAAGGCTTCAGAGCCTTCTGGCATAGACTGCCATGGTGAGCAGCCCTACTGGGCTGGTGCAGTAGGACCAGCTGGCTCTGCCAAGCTATGAGGAAGGGCTCAAGAAAAGACCAAGTTTTCTTAAGCTGCTCCTGCATATGCACCAGCACCCTAAACACCATGCCTACCCCTAGACCAGCCCACTAAGAGCTGGGGGAGGCTGAAATCGCCACCCTAGCACCTCAAGGGGAAGCTCCATAGGCCTATGAGATAGTGCTGTTCCCTAGTTTGACAATGGCAAGCTCCACATGGTGGGCAATTTCTGAATTCTCCAGGACATCTGGAGGTGATTCTAGATGCCACCCTCTTACTGGGGAGCCAACGTCTTAACCACCATCAGCCCTGAGCAGAGCAGAGCAGAGCAGGGCCAGCATAGGTGAGGGTATAGTTGGCAGAAGTGGTCATGGGAGTGACCGTCGAGAACAATGTGAAACCCTGAAGGGGCCAAGCTTCACCAGGACCTATAACAGCAAGACCACCATCTTACACACTGAGGCTAGGCAGCACTGTCTCGGATAGTGTGAGACTACCCTACACATGCTCCCTCCTTTTACAGGGAGGCCAGGGCATGTGCCTTGTCCTGTGATCTCTGGAAGCTGGTACTTACTCCACGTTCACCTTGTGGGCACCACTATTTTGTTCCCACAAGCCATTCCCTAAAGATTCTCAAGAAGTCTGGGGCCACTGAAAGGTGCCTCTCCTTACTCCAGGGTACTTTCAAAACCTCTGAAGCCTGGGCACCTCCTGGTAACCTTCTTCGCCAACCACCCGAAGGCATGTATGGCTCCCCTGAGCTTCTGGCAGAGTCCCACCATGCCTTAGGTTGAGTACCTGCTCACACCCAAGCAGGTCACAGTTGAATCTACTATCCCAGTGGCTGCAGAACCCCTGCAAAGGGATGTTACAACTGAGGGGCTGAAACATAAACCATATACCTATTTCAGACACTGAAATGTGAACAGAGGAAAGGAAATTTTATCTCATTACAGCTTAAATTATTATGCCTTCAGTCAGGTGTGATGATACGTACCTAGAGTCCCAGCTGCTGAGGAAGCTAACTCAGGAGGATACTAACCTAGGAGTTTGGGACCAACCAGCATGGACAACAAAGCCAGACCCCATCTCTTAAATTTCATGTTTCCTTTTACTTTTTAAATGTATTTATCTGTAGACAGGGTCTCACTGTGTAGCCCTGGCTGGCCTGAAACTCTCATAGAGCTACTTGCCTCTGGCTCCAAGTGCTAGTATTAAAAGTGTGTGTCACCACACCTGGCTCTCTTTCTTTTTAAAAGAAAGTTTAAATATTTATTTTGTTATTATGATTATTAGTGTATATGTATATCCACATGCCACAGCATGTGGAGGTCAGACAGCTTTCAGGAATTAGCCTCATCCTTATATGGGTTCTGGGGAGTCATAGGCTTGCAAGGCAAGTGACTTTACCCACTGAGCCACTCCACTGGCTTCTTGTTCCATTTGTTTTGAGGAAGGGTTTCTGGTACTCGGAATCCTCTTGCCTCAGCCTCCTAATCCTAGGTATTGGGATCACAGTATCACCATGACTGCTTCATGGGGAATTTTCTTGAAGAGCTAGATCAGAAGTATGTTGAGTGTCAAGAGACAAAACCTATAGATGTGACATACACATTTGCACAATGACTTAAAGGTCCAACTCCAGATGGCCTGGTAGGGCGGCACATGCCTTTAGTCCCAGCATTCAGGAGGCAGAGGCAGAGGCAGAGGCACGTAGATCTCTTTAAGTTCAAGACCAGCCTGGTCTTCATGGTGAATTCCAGGCCAGTCAGAACATACATACATAATGAAATCCTGCCTCAAAAAGAAAAAAGATAAGGTACAACTCCAGATGGAAAACACCATTCTTAGTTTCAGGGCTGAGAACACTCATTGCTGGATACTCATTGCTTCCAAAATACCAGCCCAGATGCCTGCTGGCCAGGTGCCTCCCCATATTCCCTGTGCACTGAGCTGCTCTCAGGGCACCAGTGAGGGTTCCCGGCCTGCAGCTCCACTATCAAGAAGCAACGCTCCTCTTGGGCAACACTCGTGTTCTAGGACTGCTCTTGCTCCTGTATAGGAGCCAACAGGTAAGCCCTGCGTAGGTGACAGGGCACACAGGGTTTAAGCCCAGGTCTGGCCTTCAAGATGTAGACGGTAAGAATAGGCTAAGAGGGCCTGGATGGAGGAGGGTGTGGAGCTTCGGGCCTATTCAACCCTAGGGAAGAAGGATGCATGGAGAATGCAACCCTGAGTACCTGAGATGAGAACAAGACCCATGGGCTCTGATATCTGTTGTATGTGAGGCTATGACCCTGTGACTGCCAAGAAGGTAGGACTGAGTGAGCACTCACTGCTCAGCCCCAGGGACACTCCTGTGTCCACACCCACAGCCTCACAGGACACAAAGTCCCAATCTCGCACATGGCATCCACAGGGGGACACTATAACAGAGCAGCACCTAGCATTCAAGCAACAGTCCCCTGTCACTACTACAGAGAGCTCTATTGCAGATACAGAGGCACAACTATCAAAGTCCCCATCAACTACAGGATGTACAGAAGCAGAGGAGGGGTTGAGGCAAAAGTCACTAGGGTCATGGGGCAAGGAGACTATGGCGTTGGGTCTACCTAAAGGGCAACAGAGCTCACCATGACATTTACATTTAATCTGAGCCACTGCCTTGGTGCCTTGTCTCCTCTTCGTCGCTCTGGTGTGAACAGCAGGAAATAAGGAAGGCAGCTGTCAGCCCAGCTTGAGCAATGCAGGCCTGGAGGAGAACTAACCCTATCACCCAGGAGGAAAACCTGGGGGAACCCTAGGTCTGGCTGAATTGTATAGTCCTTCACATGCCGCAGACACCTGCCCTCACAGCTCCCAAGCAGGCCAAGGACCTAGACCTGTCTAAAGGGCTTTTGTTGTGGTCCTGGCTCCTGGAAACTGACTTAAGAGAACCATGCACCTGGCTCCATCAATGGCCCACTGCATGACAGAGGGGGGCCTTGGTCAAAGGGGCTGAGATCGATCAGCCAGGGGACAGATGTTGATCAGCCCTTCAATAACTCATGCCTGTAGAGGGCATCTCAGAGTCACACTGGACCCACAGATCCAGAAGGGTTCCCATCACAGGTGATACTCTGTCGTACAGGGGGAGGACTACCTGATTACAGAGGTTTCTCCTGCTCTTGGCCCCAGAAATCTCCTCTGGTAGGTGTACTTCTCTGAGACAAAAGGAGCCCCTAAGCCCAATCACTCTTGCTGCATTCTTAACCAGGGCTAGATCTCAGATCAGAGTGGCTAAGGAAGGCAGGGTGTCCACCTAGGGCTTGCTCCGCTCACGTACAGTGGGCTTAACTCCTCACACAAGCCACAGTCTCATCCCTAATAGTCCTTATTCCTACCATTCCCACTTGAAACAGGAAAAGACTATGGCAGTGTGGCTACCAGATGCTCAGGGGACACTGTGGACAGGGTTCAGTGTGGACATGGTGGCTGCTGACCACAGAGGACACAAGTCTCAAGGGGATCCACTGCTCTCAGAAGGGTGGCAGGGGTACAGGGCGTTTCCAAATGCCTGTTTTCTAGATCAGACTCCCATGGTTCCCATGGCTTGGGGGACTAGGGACCCTGCTGCTGTCAAGTACGTTCAGAAACTGTACTGGCTGCTTTACGTCATAGCCAGGTGGGTTTTGTTTGGTTGGTTTTTTTTTTTTTTTTTTTGGGTGTGGGGCGGGGGAGTTGTTTGTTTGCTTTGGTTTTTCAAGACAAGATTTCTCTGTGTAGTGCTGGTTGTCCTAGAACTAGGTCTGTAGAGCAGGCTGACCTCGAACTCAGAACTCTGCCTGCCTCTGTCTCCTGAGTGCTGGGATTAAAGGCCCAGAGCCAGGTATGGGGACACATTTTCAATTGCAACGGGACTTGGGCCCATGCCTAAAGCCTCCTCACAATATAGATTGAGTCCTTTTGGCAGCTGTAAAGCCATAGAGGAAGATGGGTCTGCTGGAGAAAGATGAACTCTGGTGAGCTTCATTATGAAAATCATAAGTTTAGAGGGGAGAGCTTCTAAAATTAAATGTATGAGAGAATCCTGTCATTGCTCAAAGACAGAATGTCCTTCTGATTTTGGGTTAGAAGTTCTTGAAGGTAGGGGATGCCTGCTACATCTAAGACATCCAGGGGGAAGTCTGCCCTGGTTGGGTTTTGGGACTCTGGCCTCCTCCAACCTGAGGCCTTGCATAACTCATGCCATCCTGTGGTTGGGGCAGCAGTGGCAGAGGAGCTGTCTCCTGCCTCACCTCTTGTGAACACACAGAAGCTATGGACAAGAACCCAGGGGGTTGTGCAGGTATAATACATCAGCCAATGGCAAAGACCCCGTCACATCACAATGTGGGGTAATGTTAGAGCACCTTTGAGGCCCAGCTAGTGTGGCTTCTTGGAGATACTCTGAGGAACTCTGCCCCTCAGCTCTTAAGTCCTCACCCTAAAGACCAGGAAAGGCTGAATGGGAAGCTCTAGGGAGACAGAAGACACCCAGGGGCCACTGACTAAGGGCCAGGTTGTCATCAAGTCCCTGACTAAAGCCCACCATGACTGGATTCTTTTCACCCAAAGTCATAAGCACCCCGTCTCCCAGCCCAGCATTGCCCTGGGCCTTACCAGAATCACTATGACCTTAGACTCAGCCTAAGCAAGGCCCTGGCTCCCCTGAGCTGGTTGCAAGGCTCTATAAGCCACCACAAAATGGCCCCAAGACCCAGGAATCATCCAGTCCAGGTGAACAAAGTACACTAAAGAGACATGTTCATCTGTCTGCCTAAGTCCCAGCCATAAGGCATTCAGGGAAAAAAAGGTCACAAAAGTTGATCACTTGAAGGCAATATAAAAGAGGCAGGCTGCTTTCCCTGGGAGACGGAAAACCCAGTGCCCTCTACGGTAGGACTGAAGGCCACACTAAACCAAATGTGAGAGACCAACTGTGTACAGCCGAGTCAGCTGCTGCGCTAAAAACCCGAGCTCAGGGGCGCCGCCCTCTACCTGTGTCCTAAGATGTCCCCTGACGCCTGAGGCTGTCTCCTCAGTAGGCAGCCACAGTCCTGAGGCCCAACTGATCAGGCCTGAGGTCCACATACTTCTAGGGACAACCCTGTCTGGTGGCTGTGGAAACACATGCTGCAAAAGCGCCTCCATGCTGACACACCAGGTTGCTTTGTATGCTTCATATGAAGATCTCTAGCCACCAAGAAACCCAACAATTAAGAGTCTAGAGAAAATAGCAAAACTCAATGAGGCAAAAAGAAGGAAAAAGCCAGTCCACAGTGTCTGCCCCAGGGACTGGGAGCATCCTGCTGGCACTCACCTTGGCTTTCTCACTCGGCTCACTAGGTGTGCCATACGGGGTGTTGTGCAGCTCCTTGGAAACCACACAGAGGAACTCAGCCTGGTCTTCATTTCCATAGTTGTAGGAGGAGCCAATGCTGACCAGCTGAAAGGAGACATTGCCTGTGACAGTGGGCAGTGGCTCGGGTGTATCTGCCCCCTATGAGGAAGACCATGGCACAGAGTGTGGAAGCTCAGGGACACCAGAGCTAGCTTTACCCAGGAGGATTTTCCATAGAACTATCAGAAAGCTAATTCCTAGCACACTGTAGGAGCCCACACCTGCACCCCTACGTAATTGCACAACGTGCTGGAACAGGCTCTCTCTGCAGATTGGAGCTTCTCTTGGTGTTCCAGCTGGACCCTAGGGGATGACTAGCTACCCTGTGGAGGGAGGAGAGGTAGTGGTACAAAGGTTAAGGCAAGTGAATGAGAGCCAAGGCCAGAGTTTATGCACAAGCACCATTTGTGCTGGCTTCCCTTGTCTCTGATGGCAGCCAGAAACCCTCCTGGGCTGAGTAGGGCCTTTACAGACTAACTCTAGTACCAACTTAGGGCAAAGAACCTGAGGGCTATACTAGGGAGTTCAGGAAAACAGAACAGAGGCCAACAACTCTAAAAGTTGGAGCACGAAGTGAGAGCCTAGCTTGACACTGACAGACACTGAAGGTGATGTCTTGTACTTCTGCACACCCTTGCTTGTTCTAACATGCATCATAAGCCTCCAGGTCACCATGTATGGCACTTAGGCCATAATGGATCATTATTCCATCTATGAGACTGAGACAAAAGTGAACAGACATCAAGCACTTTTGTTCTTTTAAACACAAAAATAACTCAAGGGAAAACACTGTAGCCATAGCAAGGGTGCGAATGGCACAGTGAGTAAGCAGTAGTGGCTCAAAGGCCACTAGGTACTGTGGTCCCTGCTCATGTATCTACATATCAGAAACAGAGGTAGGTGCATGAGCAAGCTACTACTCCCCAGCAAGGAGGGGCCCCACAAGGTAAGACCGATGGCACAGGTGCTGGCCTGGATCAGGTAGTTGTGGCTGGTCCCTCGGAGGAGAACACATAAACCCACATTTCTCAAGAGACTCTGAATCCACACAAGGCAGCCATAGTATGACCTAATCACTGACCCCTGGGTGACCCTAGGTTGGACCGACCACTCAAAGGGACTGGGCCTCACCTTGGTTCTCTGAAAGCTTGTCAATCTAGTATTAGTCTTGCCTCAGGGAAGCAATGTTCCTTCCTAGCCAGCATGAGTCAGGCTCTGTGGGTTTCACCAGAAAGAACCTTCAGTATGGAGGTCCCCAGGGTGATTGCACAAAGGTCAGAAAGGAGGGGGAAGAGGTGCGCCTGTGCTGAGTCTAGGATCACCGAGGACAGCCAAGGACAAAGTCTTCAAGCTGGCTATGGGAGGAGACTCCCCCAGCCAAGTCACAAGACAACAGAGCAAAAGGCGCTTGGCTCCAAATGAGGTAACCCAGTTCACAGATCTAGAAACTGTGACAGCTACTTTCCAGTGTACAGTCTTTCTTGGGCCACAGGCCAGGCACATGATGGGCAGGCTCTGCCATGGTGACATCTGCTCCTGTCCAACCCTTTGATGTGATTCTAACAGGGTTTGGGCACAAGACACACACACACACAGTCCATAAGACCTGCAGACCCCTAGAAGGACAGAGACCAAGCCAGCACTTGGTGTGTGTGTGAGGGGGAGAGGGGTGGTGCAGGAAGCACTTGGGAGGTGAGCTCCACACATGAAAGAAGTGCTGGACATAGCACAGAACATCCTCAAGGGAGGGGCTTGCATTAGAAACCGCCACAAAGAGAGTGGGAGGATAAGGACTAGGGAATGGTCCCTATGATCTGAGACTCCCATGGGCCCTCATTCATCACCTGCTCAAACTTCCAGCCGTCTGACATGGTGGATACCATCTGTGTAAGCTCTTCCTCCTGGCACTGCAGGACACGGTACACATGCTTCACTGGCATCTACAAGGATAAACACACCAAGAGTTAAGGCCCCACCTACCATGCACCCAAGTAACCTTACCCTCATACCACCACAGGTCAGTCAGTCAATATTCAAAGCAACCTTGAACACATCCAATGCACAGCAGCCTCAACAGCTGCTATCCCAGCTTTTCCTAATCACCTTCAAAAATATTTCTACTTCTAAATTTCAAATCTGAAATCCTCAGAGCACCTGTGACTAGATATGAACACATAGAAAACCTTTTTGTTTTTGTTTTTCAAGACAAGGTTTCTCTGTGTGGCCCTGGCTGTCTTGGAACTTGCTCTGTGAAGCAGGCTGGCCTGGTAGATCCGCCTGCCTCTGCCTCCCAAGTGCTGGGATTAAAGGTGTGTGCCACCACACCTGGCCAGAAAACCTTTATATGTTCCATGAAGGGCTATACAATCTATTGCTTAACCTTTCCTGCCTAACAGAAACTCCCTGGGCAGTTCCAGGTAGACTTTGGTCTTGGGTGTGGGATGGGGACAAGCTTGCCCTTCCAGAGCCACCAATATGTATAGGACATAAAGATCTGAAGCTACTGTTGCTTGAGTTGTGTTTCATGCTAGCGGCACATGGGTAACAGCCACACACTGGCCGTATCCAAAGTGCCTCACCACCGAGATATCCAATGGCAATGGCTGCTACGCTTCTGTGAGGCCAGGCCCTGCCAGGAGGATCTCATCTACCTCCACAATGCAGACAGAGACCGAAGGAGTGCAGATCATATGGTCTTGAGTGGAACTGGGATAAAGGGGAAAGAGGCAGAGTGAGAGGGATAGGAACCTTCAGGACCTTTCTAATGCCATGATGATGAGAAGCCTCCTCCTCAGATCCCTCCCTGCCAGCAAGTGGGCTTAGTGGAGGGCAGAAAGCTTGGCCAGGCGAGCGTTTGTTTCCTCTCAGCCATAAGTGAGCCAGAGTGCCACAGTGTGAAGGTGTGCAGTGGCAAAGTGCCCAGGAGCAGCCCACCAGAAAGGCTCAACACAGGAGCGAGGCAGTGAGAGGGTTCTACGTAGTCTAAGTCAGGGTGCTGCCAGCATTCACTTTGTGAGCTGGGTGAGGGTGTAACCAATCTCAAATGCAGAGCTAGCTTGCTGATAAGACATTGCTGAAAGCTACTGAGGCTTTCCTTGGAGAAGGTGGGGCCACTGCCTACCTCTCACAGCACTCACAACACACACACTTAGTGGGAGGAAGCAAGGGACCCAGGAAGCCCAACTCATCCTAATGACTGCACAGATCCCCAGTATCTGTGCCACCTACCTCCCAGCTCATCAGTGCTCTCTTCTCTGTCATGCTGGCCACAGGCCTTTGTACTTGCAGACTAGGTCTGGATACTCTCCCATCGGAGAGTCTCTGCTCGCCAGCATCCCACTACCCTCACAAGACCTCCCTCTCCTCCATGCATTTATCACACAACTTCCACACAAGTGCCTGTGTCTACTGATCGCAGTGGACTCACTGGCAAGGGACCAAGCAAAGGCATATGGACCCTTCATGGCAGATGAGGAAAAAGAGAGCGAGGCCTGGGGCACTGGGATGAGAATAAACAGTTCTGGTCCAAGGCCACACACAGAGAAGCCAAACCTGCTTGTGACCCCTCACCCCCATCTCACCTGTGATGTTTTGCTGTCTCGTTCTCTGATTTTATCCTTTACAAGTTTTATTAGTGAGGTGATATTGTAAAATTCTGCTTCTTCCAACACTCCTGAAATAGAGGTAAATTACTGTGACTTCTATTAGATCAGACTAAAGCAAACAAGTACTTCATCCCTGCACCCATGCTATCTCTAGCCGGAAGTCCTTATGCCCAGCTTGTCACAACATCCTCACAGACCTCTCTCAGTTCTCAGCACTCAGCAGAGGACTAAAAATGAAGGTCAGTTTACTAACATACTTATGGCACTGTCACTACAGGTGACATGTGGAGGCACAACAGCTGCTCTTGGCTCACAGGCACTGGGAGATAACTGGCATTTGTTCTCTGCTGCCTGGAAGCTGCCTGACTGTGCTACTGGCTCTTCCTGTTGGGAACAGTGTGGAAGCCATAGACTCTTGCATGTGTCCCACAGTTACACAGACCATTTCCCCCTGCTCAAATGAAGAGTAGAACTGACTGGAGTCACTTCTGGCTCCAAAGATTTCCCCATAGCCTGTTATCTAATGCCCCACACTTGAGACTCAAACTTCCCAGAAGCTTAAAACTAGAATTCAAGAGCGCTACTTTCAGGTTTCCTCTCTGCACAGGCTTGCCTTATCTCTTTAACTGTCCTACTACTCAAGGGTAGCCAAAGCAGACCAGAACAGCTCAAGACAACATATGACATGATAACATGGGAAACCTGGGAAGGGCAGAGTGTGGGGAATGAAGTATGCAAGGCTGTCAGGTAACAAGCAGGGCTCTCATAACTCCAGAGCAGAATTAGATGTCCATATAACAATCTACACAATAACAGTTATCAGGAACTTAATGAGACCCTAAAGAAAGGAGATACATAATAGGAGCTTCAAAAAGCAGTCCTATAATACAACTGATGTGAGGACAGCAATTCTCAACCTATAGGTCTCCACCCCCACAGAGGTTGCATATCAGATACTTACATTATGATTCATAATAGTAGCAAAATTAGAGTTATGAATTAATGAAAATAATTTTATTGTTGGGGGGCCCACCATAACATGAAAAACTATATTAAAGAGTCGCAGCTTTAGGAAGGTCTAGGGCCTTCTTGAAAAGGCCCTACCTTTTCTGAGACAAGACAAGATAGCCTGGTGCTATGTATCCTGTACTCTGTAACCAGGCAAGATAAAGCATGATGGCCAATGAGGAGACTATGCAAATGACTGGATCCTGGAATTGATCTGGAAGGAGAGCAGTGAGAGGTTCCATGGCCCACGTCCCAGAACTTTTGTTATAATAGTATCCACAAGACACAGCCTCACACTGCAGAAGCCAAAGCAGCTGTAAGACCTGGAAGAGCCACCCACACTGCACCCCTAAGACACCTGAAACAGGCTGTAGCATGGCCTTTGGCCACTTGATGCATAGCTTAGGTTTTCAGCAATGCAGTCCTTCTGGCCTGAGGCACCTGCAACTTCAAGGAACCAAGCAGCACAGGGAACAAACAACCCAGTACAGAGTTCATGTGTCTGTTGAAAATGAACACCTTACCTTCCTCTGCGAGGTCTTTGTTAATAACTAGCTTTCCATGTCTCAAGTAGTTCAGTACAGGTCCAAAGTAGGTGGGATCTCTGTCGATTAAATAGGCACCTGTTTCATCCTACAAAGAATAAAATGCTGTCAGTTCTTGTGTAGAAACCAGCAGTTCTAGTTTGAGATCATCCTGGTCTACAAGAGTTAGTTCCAGGACAGCCCCAAAGCTACAGAGAAACCCTGTCTCAAAATCCAAAAACCAGCAGTTTTGCAGTCTGATTAAGGGCAGACCATATTCAAAAATATTCAAAAGCACTAGCAGTGCAGGTTCCACAGTTGCTCATGCACCTGTCTCAGGGAACTTCAGAGCATTCTGAGTCTGTCTGCCTCCATTTTGATATAACACAGGTCTCAATGTCAAGACTACCTTCCTTTGTCTAATGATCCAAGCCAACCAGGTATTGCTCCAGCTCCAAAAGACTCTGAGAAAATCAGGTTTGATACCCACAAATCAATCCCCCATCATAGGATAGGATACCTTGAACTCATAATTCTCCTGCCTCAGCCTTCTAAGTGCTGGGATTACAGAGTTGCACCACCACACCTTGCTCCATGGCTCAACTCTTAAGACTCTGGAGACTCAGGCCTTGGCAGCCAACTCTCCTTGTTCCAGGGCATCATGGAACAGAAACCTAAGACCTGGGAATCAAGTGGCAGTACACTGACCAAAGAAAGCACCCTCCACAGCTGAGCCCTGAAGCTGACTGTCAGGAGTTTCCTATAGACAAATAAAGCCTGGTCAGTGCTAATGCTGAAATGACCACACAGGGTACCTTCATTTCCTGCAGATCCATAGCCCCTGGGCTTTCCCAGTGACTATGATCGCTAAGGAAACCTTTCCTCTGTGGTCAGTGGTTTGTGGAACCTGAACCTATACACCCACCTGCTGACTCTGACAGGGCAGTAGGTCCCTTCAGGACTGATACCCTCACATGCTCACCAGAGCTATCTCCACGGAGGACATCCTCCTCCTCCAGCGTGGAGCACATTTAGCTCCACATGATATCTCACCATGCAGACCTACTGTGATAGCCACGGGCCTGGCAGGGGTCAGAGGAGGTGTAGCATTAGGGGCTACCAGAGAGGGCGATGCACAAAAGCTACAAGGACACACCCCCAAACCAGGGTGTGGGTCAGTAAGTTTCTGTCACACCCTACTCCAGACCTGCCAGATTGGCTGCATGTAATTTGGGGGTTGCCAAGTCCAACAGGGATGCAGACCTTCTGGTGTGGACCCACACAAGCTGATAAAGGGTGAGCCTGATACTTCTACAGCGATCTGGGACAGTAGCCCAAGGGATGTAGTAGGTACCAAGGTCCCTGCTGAGGTGAAGCCACCACCCCAACTTTCCAATGAGCAAGGCCATGCCAAGTACCAGGTAAAGAAGATGACTCCACAAATCAATAGTGCACACAGGCTTCCCTCACCAGAACATGGTTCCCATGAGGTTTCTGTAGGTGCAGACCATTGAAAACTGCTGTCCTTGCTACCCAGTGGGAACAGCCTACCAATCTACACCCTAAAGACAGCATGGGGCCTAGGATGCTATCTGGCCATGAGTAGCAGAGCTTAGTGGACCCAGTCACAAAGCAGTGAGCCTTCAGAAGCTGTCTTCACAGACATCCATTTGTGTATTTGGGTCAATAAAAACTGGTGGTTTCAAGGGTTCTTCCCAACACCTACAGGCACAGGGTGATTAAAAGCTTGCTTTTCTTGGATCGATGGGAGAAACCTGAGCTGTGGTTGTCATTGATCACTAAGGTCTGTGAGATAGTTGCTAACGCTAAACTCATTTCTCTTTCTGTGGTCTCTGTTCCACCCAACATGAATGTCTAGCTCTCTAGCCCTTTCAACTTCATCCTTATCACTGCATCTAAGGACAACATACAGGGCAAATTGCCCCAGAGCTCTCCATTCTGTCACCCAGCCTTTACTCCTTAAGGCCACCTGGGGCCTTGCCTTCCAGTCTCAGTCTTCTGGAGCCCAGTCATCCAAGCAAAGCCAAGAAATCAAGGACGACAGTGGCAGTTATTCCCACATTACAGAGGGCCACAAGCAGACTGACGTCTGGAAAAAGAAATGGTACTACCACAAGTGTCCCCCCTCTGTCCATGCAGAAGTGCCCCTGGAGTGTGACATTTCCACATCGCCATGCTCAGGAATGTTCATGGCTCAATGCCCCCTTGGCAGACTACTAATAGGTCAAGGAAAAAAGATCAGAAGGGGACATGCTCATCCTTACCCTAAATACTCTTGGGGGACTCTCTTGTCATGATGGTCATGGCATCAGGGCCCTTCCCTGGCAACAAGAAGCCTAAAACTTCTCCAGAGTATTAAGGGTGAAAGGAAGGGAAGGGACTCGTAGGAGGAAGTTGTTTATTGAGTGCTCTCACTCAGGAGCCTCTTGGAGACTTCCAGAATGACAAGTGCCACAAGACTACATGAAAGTGACCTAGGTGTCACAAGTCCTGAAGGGTGAGGGCATGGGTCTCTGTGGCAGATCAGAGGAGCCATTAGCACTGGGTGTGCTGGTATTGGCATTTGGCCAGCCTGAAAACCATGAAGGGTACTGAGCCTTAGCTCATGTGCTGGGTGTGGCTGGCTTTCACTGAACATGCCCTGTGGGAGGCAGCTTTTTGACAAATGCTTTGAAAGAACTGCCCAAAATATACCCAGCCAGACCATGGTGGTGCACACCTTTAATCCCAGTGCTTGGGAGGCAGAGGTAGGTGGCTCTCTGTGAGTTCAATGCCAGCCAGCCTGGTCTATGAATCGAGTTCCAGGACAGCCAGAGAAAACAGTCTTGGAAAAACAAACAAACTACACCTGAACTGTGGCCTCTTGCAGGCAAATGATCAATGAGAACAACACCTCCTCAGAGTACTTGAATTGAGATCCTGGCCACAATGTTAATGTCTAACAGCAAAGGGCTGTACTCAGCCCAGTGTCTCTCCCTGTCTTAGAGCTGAGGTCTCACCACAAACTAAAGACTTAACTATAAGCTTCAGAAGTGATAACATGGGAACAGCAGCCCAAGGAACCTTTTAAGTGTAGTCCTAGCTGTCCTGGAACTTGCTCTGGAGACCAGGTTGGCCTTGAACTCATAGAGATCTGCCTGCCTCTGCCTCCTGAGTACTGGGCTACCACCACCCAGCCCGTGGAACCTTCTTACAGCCTCTGACTATTCTAGGCAGTGTTCTTGTTTGGAGCCCAATGTCCTGTTTGCTAAAAACCCAGCCACAAAGGGCAGGATATGTACTTTGTGGGGAACCACCATCTGCATCCAGTAAAGAAGCACTTTAGATGTGGAGATTTCCAGAAAAACAGGATCAAAATAGTTCAAAAATTTTGATGAGCCAGGTCAGTAGAGGGCAGGATGAATAACAGAATTTGAACACATAAATAGCTTTATATGTGACTCCTGGCCATCCAAGGAAGGTAGCATGAGCTGAGAATGGCAGGACAGAACACCTTGGAAATGAAAACAGAGACTTCCATACAAACCCAGGAACAGTAATGGCCCAACAAGCTGGGGAGCAAAGCGTAGCACCAGGCAGGGCAGTGACTGTCACTGGGCTATGTCCAGAGGTGGTAGAGTGAATTTCTTGTCTTAGCTGGGTTTCTATTTCTGTTATAAAACACTATGACCAAAAGCAACTTGGGAAGGAAAGGGTTTATTTCAGTTATACTTCCACACTGTAGTCCATCATTGAAGGAAGTCAGAAGAGAAACTCAAGCTGGACAGGAACCTGGAAGCAAGAACTGATGCAGAGGCTATGGAGGAGTGCTGCTTACTTGCTTGCTCTCCATGGCTTGCTCACCTCCTCCTAGCACCTGGACCACCAGATCAGGAATGGCACCACATAGTGAACTGAGCTCTCCAGCATCACTCATGATTAAGAAACGAACCACAGGCTGGCCCACAGGCCAATCTGGTGGAGGTATTTTCTTGGTTGAGGTTCTCTCTTCCCAAATGGTTCTAGATTGTGGCAAGCTGACACAAAATTAATAAGCACAACTGACTAGCTATCAACTTGACATACAAACACATCACCGTTAAGCCATAACCTTTCCTTTCTTGTTGTCCCCAAAATGTTATTAATATCAGTATCACAATAGAAAATATATTTGAAAGTCCCAGTCTTTAAAAATGCAAACTTTAAAAGTTCAGTCTCCAGCACTCAGGAGGCAGAAGCAGGCAGATCTCTTGTGAGTTCAAGGCCAGCCTGGTTTACAAAGCAAAATTCCAGGACAGTCAGGACTGTTGCATAGAGAAACCCTGTCTTGGGGGAGAAAAAGAAAATTCCAGTCTCTTTAAAATATTCATATTCTCTCTAAAACTTCAAAGTCTAGGCTCACACTTAAGACACTCACAGGAATCAAGGGAAAGTGGAGGTCATCCCCTCTATGCATCACCTCACAGCTCTCTGGCCAGTTTCTACTGGTGGCTGCTTCCTTAAAGCACATCAGCTGCCTGGGCAGCCACAGAAGCCAGAGTCTGGAGAAAGAGGTAGTGGAGTATGAGTACCACTCACAAAATTCTTTAGGAGCCGCCTGTCGGAGATCTCAACTCCATAGCAAGGGCCAAGGCCAAGCCCTATATCCCACATATTTCCAACATGACACACATGGCAGTGCTGCTTAGGGCCCACTATGGGAGCATTCCAGGCTGTAGTCATGCTTGCAAGGGTGTTTGGAAGACTGACAAGAATGAGCCTCCAGCACATGTCCTGGTGTTGGTAATGCAGCTCAGGGCCTCCATCCTGAGAACACCAGGAAACACAAGTCCAAATCCAAGCCAGGCATGGTGGCTCATACCTTTAATTCCAGCACTTGTTAGGCAGAGGTAAGTGGATCTCTGAGGCCAGTCTGGTCTACAAAGTCCAGGATACCCAGGACTGTTACATAGAGAAACCCTGGCTTTGAAAATCAACACCAAAACCAAAACAAACAAAAAATCTGAATAAAGCCTCAGTTCACTCATTAAATCAGTAACATGACTGTTTTTTTCCCCTTCTTTTTTTGAGGCACTCTTTTATTATACAGACTTAGCTGGCCTTTGAATT